GAAGAAGAAGAAGAAGAAGAAGAAGAAGAAGAAGAAGAAGAAGAAGAAGAAGAGAAGGAGGAGGAGAAAGAGGGGGTGAGGAGGGGGGGGGAGTGGGAAGGAGGAGGAGATGGGTGAATTTAGATTTAGAATCATAAGGAAAGCTGAGTTACTTCGGGATAATTTTTGTCTTCCCATATTTTTTATATTATTTTTGCAATGACGACAACTTCTGTTTACAGGTAAAACAACCCGTGGATATAATATGATGATGAAGACGGCGACAACATCTCCATTCAAAACCATGACCACTATCAGTAAGAACCATGCCTACATATTACACCAGCATCAAAAGTAACGACAACGACGATAAGGAGGAAAACAATAGCAGCAGCAACTGGTGGTGGTAGTAGTAGTAGTAGTAGTAGTAGTAGTAGTAGTAGTAGTAGTAGTAGTAGTAGTAGTAGTAGTAGTAGTAGTAGTAGTAGTAGCAATAGCGCTAGCAGTAGCAGCAACAGTTGTGATAGTAGCAGTAGCAGTAGCAGTAGCAGTAGCAGTAGCAGAATTGGTAATAGTGTTTGGGGTTGTAGTAGTAGCAGCAACCGCAATGATAGCCTGATAGCAGTAGCAACAGCAACAGCAGCAGCAGCAGCAGCGGCAATAACTGTAGCACTAGCAGTAGCTGCAGCAGCAACAACAACAGCAAATATATCCGCAGTAGCAGCAGCAGCAGCAGCAGCAGCAGCAGAAAGCAAGCAACAGCAAGGTGCAACGAGCAGAACAACAGCAAGTAGAAAACAGAAGACAAAAACCCCCAGCTCATCCGCGAGTTGTCGCACTCAGATTACTGCTTATCTCCCCTTGTCAGAGACCAGACGAGATTCGTGAGCTGAAGTTCCAAGGTGAAGGAAAAAAACAGGAACACGTCCAAAAAGAAACGGATGAGGTAGGAGGATGTAGGCCTGATGGAACTGAGGTAAACGCTGGAGTCAACAGAGAGGCTGGCAACGTGGGGGTGGGAAAAGGAGGGGGATGTGAGTCTTGAATAAACAATTAAGTGGTCTTGGTGCCAAGTTGAGGGCTACCTTTGGTCTCCAGTGGTAGGTGAGGGTTAGGCATTGAGGGGGATTCTCTCTTTCTCTCTCTCTTTCTCTCTCTTTCTCTCTCGTTCTCTCTCTTTCCCCCTCTATCTCTCTTTGTCTCATAAACTCTCTCTGTCTCTGTTTGTCTGTCTCTATCTCTACATCCTTTGCAATCTCTATCCTTCTTTCACTCTTTCACTCACTTACTCTCTCACACAAACACACGCACACACACAAACACACACACACACACACACACACACACACACACACTCGCACACAAGTATTCTCTCTCTCTCTCTCTCTCTCTCTCTCTCTCTCTCTCACTCACACACACACACATACACACTCACACACACTCACACACACA